AAACTCAGTGCAAGACCGCAGTCCTCGTTCAATCAGATACCTCTTCATGTCGTCTGAGGTAGACATTTTCATAGCTTCTCAGTTGAATCTCTCTGTATAGTCACAGAGAGATTCTTCCTTTTCTTGGATGATAGCTTCCAGGGATGCTTCCTTCTTCAGGTGTCGCCGAGAAGCGGTGAAGTGCCTGGAAAACTGCCTCTTTAGCTCTCTCCAGAAGGTGATGGATTCAGGCTCCAGGCTTATATACCATGTCATCGCCCCTTTCCTCAAGTTCGTCGGAAAGAGCCTGCACTTGATGGCTCCCCCGAAGTTCCTGCAGTCTAGCATCGTATCGATGCTTTCAATGTGGTCGTCCGGATCGGTCGTATAATCATAGGTAGCCAGGATCGGGGGCTTTTCCATCCCGACGGGGAGAGGAGTCTCCTTGATAGCCTTGGACAGCAGCATGTGGGGGTCGTCCTCGTCACTTCTGATGGGTGATTGTGAGGGGGAAAGGTCGTACTGAGGGCTTCTGTCGCGGCGTGGAGGGCTCCTTGGACGACTCTTCGGCTGCCCAGTCTTCCCGTTAGCTCTGCCTCTCTTGGGAACTAGAGAACGTCGCTCCTTCCAAGGTAGATACCGGACGCGCTTTTGGGTGGCCACGGGATGAGGCTTTTCCAGTCGCGGACGATGCCCTGGTTGTCGCAGAGAGGGGCTCTGAGACTCGTCGTGATACAGCCTCCGCGGGGGAGGGGAAGGACGGGCTTCTCATCGTCGTGGTGACGATCTGAGAGAAATCGGGCGACGATGTCTCTACGGGGGAAAGCGTGATTTTCGGTCTTTTTCCAACATTTTGATCCGCTCGTTCTGTTGAAAGATCATCAGTTTTGTCTGATTGATTGTCGCGAACAAATTCACCATGGTCGGGTCAGCGTTGGGTGGCACAGGGATTGGTTGGAAGACATTCGGGTTGTCATAGCGTCGAGCAACGTTGAAGGTCGCATCGTCGGAAGAGGGTGACGTGGTGTGCCCGTCCCCGGCGTCCCCTTCATCGACGTGAACAGTCACATTGGGATCGTGATCGTCGCTATTGGTGAATGGGGTGAAGGCGGTTTATGGAACGTTGTCATTATTGCGTGGCCTGTCCATGATCAACGGAGGTTGAGGTATACTTTGGTTCTTGGATTTCTTTTGAAGGAAGAACGGGGAAGAAAGTTTCCCATAGACGGAGCCATTGATCTTGCCGTATCAGAAAAGGATCAGCTGCCAGCAACACGTCGTAAGCTCCTAAATTCACCGATGGTGGAGAAGATGAGGGGGTGTACCTGCAAGGTACTCTGATGCCAAAGTAAGAGACGAAGTAGAAAGAACAAGTACAGAGAAAGTGTGTAGATAATTGAATACCTGACCCTCTAGTGAAATAGGGTATTTGTATTGTTCCCCAGCGCTGAGCCAATGGTTACTTTGCACTGGGTTGGATTGCAAGGCCCAATACGAGCAACTGCCAGGGCTTACGTGGCGTAAGGAAGACCAGCACGTGGTCTTCGTCCTGGGTCAACTGCCCCATGACCTTCGGGAGGTGGGTAATTGCCTGATGACGTGCCCCTGCGTGTAGAGATCGTGGGAGAAACGTGTGAGAGCTCCCCGTGTGCACTGTTGGATTGGGCCTTCATTTGGCCTCCCCGATGAGGAGCTGGGTTGGACCGTGCCCGACGGTGGGCCAGCCTCTGACCCAGTCCAGAATAATAATAATAATAATAATAATAATAATAATAATAATAATAATAATAATAATAATAATAATAATAATAATAATAATAATAATAATAATAATAATAATAATAATAATAATAATAATAATAATAATTTATATTTAAATATTTGGAATGTTACATGTTTCGTCTTACAAAGATTTGTGAAAATTTTCCTTGATTCATAATAGTTGAAGAAGTTATGTTGGAGTTTTGAGAGATAGGAAAGGGCGAGAGAAGTTGAGATTTCCTTTTAGCGCAATTTGTTTTGAGCTGTTATAAGTTAGCTTTTATTTTGATAAAAAAAAGTTAGCTTTTATAGGTAATATATTTCACCACGGTTGATAAAACGAAGTGTGGTGATATGTCATAATATTTAACCAGTTTGTTTGTATGGATCGTGGTGAAAAGATTTTAACTTTTATTTAAAATTATAAATCAAAGGATCACGCCCTTTTTTAACGAAAAATATATATAAAATTATAGGTGTTGAAATTCGAAGTGTTTCACACCTAACCTATCACCATGATTGTTAGGTTTGACCATGGTGAAATGTGTTTTAATAAATAAAAATCAGGATGTCTAAATATGAGTTATTACTTTGGTTGATTAAATAGGCAAAGAAATATGATGTTACAAAATGTAAATTTTGTAGTAGTGGATGACAAAATCCTAATTCAAGAAAAAATGTGATAGTGATAGTGATCTTTTGGCCCTCATGCATATTGATGTACGTGGACCACTGAACGCACCATCTAGAAGAAGTTCTTAATATTTTATTACATTTACTTATGATTACAGTAAATGTGATTATGTGTATTTAATGAAACACAAATCTCAAAATCTCAAAAAGTTCAAATAATTCAAAAATGAAGTACAAAATCAACTAGGGAAGAATATTAAAACCCTTTTATCAGACTGAGGTGGTGAATATTTAGGCCTAGAATTTGATGAGCATCTAAAAGAGTATGGGATTATATCCCAACTTAATTCTCCTTGAACACCATAAAGGAATGGTGTATTTGAGAAAAGAGATTGAACCTTGTTAAATATGGTCTAATTCATGATGAGTTACGTTGATCTTTCAAACTCCTTTTGAGGACATGCTCTATTGACAATAGCTTACACATTTAACCATGTTCCATCCAAAACAGTTTAGAAGACACCATATGAGATATAAAGTGGTAAGAGACCAAATATGTCTTACATGAAGGTTTTGAGTTGCAAAGTTTATGTGAAACGAAAATTTTAAACAAAGTTTGAGCCTAAATATAATAAATGATCCATTGTGGATTATCCTAAAAAACAATAGGGTATTACTTATACAATCCTTCTGAGAGAAAAGTGTTTGTCGCTCGAACCGAAGTATTCTTAAAAATTCTTCATTTTCAAAGGAATCCATGGGAGGAAAGTGGAGCTCGAAGAAATTCAAAAATCACAAAGTAATGACACACTTATTGAAAAATAAAAGCAGGAAACACAAAAAGTCGTGGAAGAGAAACATGCTCATATAAAACAAGACTAGTGTAAGTCAAACTGGATACATCACTAATCTGAGAGATATGGATATCTCATAATGATTTGATTAAGGTGAACTATTACTCGTGGATCAAGAAGATCTTGTGAACTATCAAGAAGTCAAGTATATTGTTGCATGAAATGCAACAAAAGAAATTGTTTATATCAAGAAATTCATTAATAAACTTTCCATTGTCTCTTACATTATGGATAATATTGATTTCTATTGTCATAATCATTATGGCATCGTACACGCTAAGGAGACTAAATCTCACCAATGATCCAAGCACATACTTAAACAATTATGCCTCATTCAAAAGATAATGGTGGAGGTGATGTAAAGGTATCCTGTGTACCAACACTTGACAATGCCGATGACCCACTAACAAAACTTCTTACGCAACAGAAGCATGATGGTCATAGTAGATCTATGGGTATTGCATGTATGCTTAATTGACTCTAGTGCTAGTGGGAGATTGTTGATGTACGCTTTGAAGGTCAATAGTTTTGTATTGAACATGGTACATGTATCCAATTATCAATTAATAAAAATAAGGCATTTGTTTGTTATATTTATTTTTCAAAATAATAAAGTCACTTGAATAGCTCATTTGTTTAATGAAACATTAAATATGACTTAATCTTAAGATCTCAATAAATATAAAAACATTATTTTTAAAGTATTCTTAGTAGAATTTTATTATAAAGTGTGATAATATTAAAATATTAAGACTATTATGTGAATAAATTGATGATCACATCTCAAACACCATGAATAGAGTTATCAAATCTTCATAGGTATGTTCCTAAAAAAAAGTCTTCAAATATGGATGAATATTAGATATAATATTTGTATTCGTTGATCCACTGTGAGAATATTAAATAAAATGCTATGTAAGTGCCATAAGTAATTCACATTGTAATAGTGATGTATACCAACCACCCTTCAACTTAAAACAACTATCCTAGATGTATAGTCAAATATTTTGTAAACAATCAAATATTGTCCATAACATAATGACTATAAAGATAGTTAATAAGTATTCCATAAATCATATTGAGGGACACAAGTGATCCGAATGAAATTTGTCCATCCAGCTGCATAAAAGAATAAATATCTAATGGAACAATATTAAACTAGACAAAAGTAACACAATCTATGACTTGTGTTCAATATAAATATAAGAAAAAAATGATCAATGATATTGAAGATGGTCATAGTGAATTCATTGTTTTTTCAGGCTACTTGGTTGGTCTTCTTAATCTTCTACCATTGTCTATATTGATCTTACAAAAGAGAAAAGCAGTAAATCCCTAGATGTCTGTATCAGAAACAATTCAATCAGGTCAAGCAGACTAACATAAACCTACTCGTTTCTTGAGAATAAGTCAAGGATTATATCATACATAAAACTTCTTATTAAACAGATATATAACAGTTTTATTTTCTATATATGGATGTTCTGAAACATTTTTTCTGCTATGAGGTGCAGAAAAAGATAGTGTCAATATGTTAAGTATCATCATCAATTTTCAAATATAATGGCAACTTAACAAATAAAACTAGCTAAATAAAATTTTCATTTATCTCTGATGGTACAACAAAAGTCAGTTTATATGTCATTAAATATACAGAATATATAAGACAGTAGTAAATTAATAACAATTGATCTGCCAGATCAAACGTATACTAAGAGACTAGTTATTTTTATGCATTCTATGATTTAACATCTAAGCACAACTACATATTTATCATGCACCCTTCTCGCAAACGACAAAAGTGCACGGATCAATAGTGATGCTCTTTGTGCAATTATCAGTTTTATAAATACCAACTAGTCGATCAGCCAATTCAAACATATTGTTCCTTAGACTGCAAGAACAATGAACATACCAAAGTAAGTATAAAAACTAATTAAGCAAAGATTTACTTACAAACTTGGAAAATACTTTCTTATAGTACCAAACCTACCTGATGATAATGAACTGAGCATCCTTAGTCCTATCTTTCACATAATGCCCCACGATAGATACATTTTTGAAGTCTGCCAGACCAAATAACACATAGTTTAGTGTTATTGCAAACTCAACAATTACAACAAAAATAGTTTAGCCGCAGAGTTACTAGCAAGTACCAAGAGCTGCATCGATTTCATCCATTACATAAAGCGGCGTAGGTTTGTAATGATGAAGCGCAAATACAAGAGCCAACGAGCTAAGAGTCTAGAAAATAAATAACAAAAATACACAATGCGGTATTAATAGGGAAAAAGATATTCGTCCGTGAATTATATAATGCATGAGTCGAGGTAAAAATCTAATGGAGAGGGAGAGAAGGAGACCTTTTCACCACCGGATAAGTTAGCAATATTTTTCCAGCTTTTCTTTGGTGGTCTGACACTGAACACAACACCTTCAGAGAACGGATCTAAAGAATCCACAAGCTCGAGTTCGGCATCACCTCCAAGTGTAATCATCTGCAAACAATAAGAAAAATAATACTTAAATGTCTTTGTAAGGAAGGGTGTAGAAATATGGAAATATTTTATATATCTTGTAAAGAATACATAAGAGGTATTTATAGACTATACATCTATCTAAATAAGGGTGTAATTATTCTCCTATAAATGCTAATTATTCATAATAAGTTGTATAGGATAGCAGCTCATAATGAGCTGTATGATATTCAACATATTCTAATAATAATAATACTAATATTACAACACTCCCCCTCAAGCTGAGGAATGGATATCTATCATCCCCAGCTTGCAAGTAAGATCTCGAAACCGCTCTAAGGGGAGTCCTTTGGTGAGCACATCAGCTAACTGGAGTCCTGATGGGACGTACTGTGTAGAAATAAGACCACTGTCCAATTTCTCTTTGATGAAGTGTCGGTCTATCTCTATATGCTTTGTTCTGTCGTGTTGGACCGGATTGTGAGCAATACTAATAGCAGACTTATTATCACAGAAAAGTCTCATAGGAGCTTCATATTTTATTTTCAAGTCATCTAGAATAATCTTCATCCACAACAATTCACAAACTCCTTGAGCCATGGCTCTAAACTCTGCCTCTGCACTTGATCTGGCAACTACATTTTGTTTCTTGCTCCTCCATGTCACTAAGTTTCCACCTAAGAACATACAATATCCAGTGGTGGATCTCCTGTCAACAATCGACCCTGCATAATCTGCATCAGTATAGACCTCCATAGACAACTGCTCACTTTTCTTGAACAATAGACCTCTTCCTGGGCTCATCTTTAAATACTGCAGGATTCTATCCACAGCCTGTAAGTGCCTCTCCTCTGGATCATGCATGAATTGACTGACAACACTAACCGGATAAGCTATGTCAGGCCTGGTGTGAGATAGATAAATGAGCTTTCCCACAAGTCTCTGGTATTGAGCTTTATCAACCCTTGGACTTTCCTCATCACTCCCAATCCTGTGGTTTTGCTCTATAGGCACTCTGCTGGGTTTACAACCCAACTTGCCAGTCTCTTTGAGAAGGTCAAGGACATATTTTCTCTGAGAAATGAAAATGCCTTGTTTTGAGTATGCTACTTCCATACCTAGGAAATATTTCAACTTTCCAAGGTCCTTCATTTCAAACTGAGCTGCCAACTTCTTCTTCAAGTTCATCTTCTCAAATTCATCATTACCTGCTATGATCATATCATCTACGTAGACTAACAAAAGAGTGAGTTTACCATTTTGAGAATGCTTTATAAAGAGAGTATGATCACCTTGGCTTTGTTTATAACCCAAGGACACCATAACATGAGTGAGCCTTCCAAACCAAGCTCGAGGTGATTGCTTGAGCCCATATATGGCCTTCTTTAATCTGCAAATCTTATTACTTCCTAAAGTAGGGTCATATCCAGGTGGGATCTCCATATACACCTCTTCCTTCAAATCTCCATGCAAGAAAGCATTTTTCACATCAAACTGTTGCAACTCCCAATCAAAGTGAGCTGCCAAGGAAAGAATGATTCTTACAGTGTTCATTTTTGCTACTGGAGCAAATGTCTCTTCATAATCAATTCCATAGGTCTGGGTGTATCCCTTTGCTACTAGCCTCGCCTTATATCTGTCCAGTGTGCCGTCGGATCGATATTTTACCGTATATATCCATCTGCAACCTACTGGCCTCTTGTCATTTGTCTTCTCAATAATCTCCCAAGTCCCATTTTTCTCTAGTGCCTGCATCTCTTCATTCATGGCTTGAATCCAGTTCTTATCCTTTAATGCTTCTTGTACTGATGTAGGGACTCTAATAGAGTCAATAGCTGAAATAAAACTCTGATGCTGCACAGAAAGTTTTTCAGTAGACACAAACTGGGATATAGGGTATTTAGTACAAGACCTTTTTTCTTTTCTCAAAGCAATAGGTAGGTCATCAAGGTTCAGCTCACAAGAATTACTAGGCTCAGGGTTAGGAACACTTACCTCAGGTTCAGACGATTGGACTTGTTGGGGCAGAACGGGTTTACCTTTCCACCTTTTTCGCTGGAACTGTAACTTGTATCTGTCAACGTTATTATGCACCGGTATTGGTACATCACCACCATCCTCATCATTATTATGCACCGGTATTGATACATCACCACCATCCTCATTAGGCATCAAAGGCTCTTGTATTACAGGAATAACAGGAAGAACAGACAATTCAGGAGACGACTCTGGGTCCTGTATTAGAGGAATAACAGGAAGAATAGACAACTCTGAAGACTCAGCTTCTTGATTATTCTCCCCCTGAAGCTGAGGATTGGGATAAAAAGACTCTGATTCCTGAAAAGTAACATCCATGGATATATAGACACGACGACTAGGAGGATGATAACACTTGTACCCCTTCTTATCTGAAGCATATCCTATGAAAATACATTTAATAGCTCGAGGATCTAACTTACCTCGATGAGGGCCATGAACATGGACAAAGGCAGAACAACCAAAGACACGATTCTGAAGACTTGACAAGATGGGCACAGACGGAAAGAATTGAGTCAGGACCTGCACAGGACTAACACCAGATAACACCCTAGAAGGTAACCTATTGATTAAATAAGCAGAGGTCAAGACAGCTTCCCCCCAATAAAATTTAGGAACATTCATTTGAAAGCGTAATGCTCGGGTGATTTCAAGAAGATGACGATTTTTTCTTTCAGCAACCCCATTTTGTTGTGGAGTGTTAACACAAGTCAACTCATGAACAACACCATTAGTTTTGAGAAAATTGTAAAAATTTTGGTTTACATACTCCTTACCATTGTCTGACCGTAACCGTTTAATAGGTTTTCCAAACTGTGTTTTGACCATTTGAAAAAAGTTAACAAACAATTGACACACTTCAGACTTATCTTTCATAAGAAAAACCCATGTAACCCGAGTACAATCATCAATAAAGGTAACATACCATTTTGCCCCAGAAATATTGGAAATGGATGAAGGCCCCATACATCAGAATGAACAAGATCAAAGGGTTCGACACTCCTAGTATTACTAGGGGAATAGGTTGCTCGATGAGATTTGGCAAACTGACACACATCACAATGAAAGGAATCAACAGACACTTTGGTAAATAAGTGAGGGAATAGAGACCTGGGCATCTGGAAAGGAGGATGTCCAAGACGCCTGTGTTGGAGCCATATTTGAGCATTTGCCCATGACTCTGAACCAGCCTGATGACACTTACTTTCCTTATGAGGCAGACAATATAACCCGTTCTGTTCCTCAGCAATTCCAATCGTCTTACCTGTGGCAAGATCCTGAAAAACACAATGAGAATGAAAAAAGGTTACTACACAGTTCAAGTCTTTAGTGAGTTTATGGATGGACAAAAGATTGTTAGAAAGCTTAGGGACATGAAGCACATCATTTAGGTGGAGAGATGGGCTTAGGTGGATGTTACCAGATCCGACAATCGGGGTTTGAGACCCATTTGCAACGGTAATATGGCTTTTATTAGGTAAAGGTGAATAAGAAGAGAGATATGACATATATGGAGTCATGTGATCAGTTGCACCAGAGTCAATAATCCAGATATCTTTAGAACAAGAGGCATTAAAAGCTAAGGAGCTAGAATTCTTACCCATCATGGTCAGAGAACTAGTGTTAGAGAACTTACTCAAGGAGTCCATAGAGAGAAACAAACCGTCTCGAACCAGGAGAGGATCGAGATCTACTGTTAGGAGAGGATCGAAGGGCTGCCAATTAGAAACACCAACAACGATGACAACCGAACAATCAAGGGCTGCAAACAGCAAGTAAATAGAGGTACGGCAATAAAGGCTGTCCTAAAAAAAAGATGAAGGTGAAAACGTCCGGATCTGCAACGGTGGTTGAGCGGTGCACGATGGCTGCAAAGTCACCAAGATCACTAGGGTTCCAAGAGAAAGGGAACCTTGAAAGAAAAAAGGACCGTAATAAGAACGGCTAGTGTTTTGAGCGCGGAAGCAGAGCCCCTAGAATCGGGAGCTCTGATACCATGTAGAAATATGGAAATATTTTATATATCTTGTAAAGAATACATAAGAGGTATTTATAGACTATACATCTATCTAAATAAGGGTGTAATTATTCTCCTATAAATGCTAATTATTCATAATAAGTTGTATAGGATAGCAGCTCATAATGAGCTGTATGATATTCAACATATTCTAATAATAATAATACTAATATTACAACACTCCCCCTCAAGCTGAGGAATGGATATCTATCATCCCCAGCTTGCAAGTAAGATCTCGAAACCGCTCTAAGGGTGGTATCAGCTTGCAAGTATTATTATTCTAATAATAATAATACTAATATTACAACAAAGGGTGTGTGTCTGTGAGAGAGAGGGACAGGAGGGATTTCCAAACCTGATACATTTCCTTTAACTTTAATGATATGGCATTAAATCCTTCCATAAACTCATCCAATCTGAAATGAAAGATTCAGCTTACATTTATCCCAAATAGAAAACCATTAAACAAGTCAATGACAAAAATAAATAACATGCACACCTCTTCTTTCTCAAATCATCATATTGTTTCTTTATATCATCCCGCTCCTGAGTGACTGCATTAAGTTCTTCAACTCGTTCATTGTACAATGCTACCTTCTTACGGTACCTGATATCATAAATTCAGAAACACTTCAGTGCAACACCAAAAAGGAAGACAGTCGGGACTCAGGTTAACAAATAGGAAAAAGCCATACTCTGCAATTGAATCAAGATTCGGACTCATCTCTTTCAGTTGTGCTTCAAGCAATGCGACTGTTTCACATGCTTTTTTCAGGTCACAATCAGCATTGAGATGTTCTTCGGCCAACGTAGCCTGTAGCTTTTCATGATCCACTAAATCCTTTTGAATTCTGCATCCAGTTTACCTTATAAGAATTTCAGAATAGTGTAGAATGTATTCCCAAACAAATATTAAATGACGTACTGCTCAAGATGCTTGATAACAGCAGCTTGCAACTCATCTAGTCTTTTCCTGTAACCTTTCCCCTTTATTTCCAATTCTTTGTATGCTTTCTTCATGTCTTTTAATTTAAAGTCAGCATCAACCTGCAAAATAAAGACTACAATGAGAAAACTTAAACTTCAAGAGAAATGAAAAATGAAAACCCAACAAGTACCTCAGATGCACGCATTTCATCAACTGCTTTTTTCATCTTATCGTGTTCAGATCTTGCTTCCTCTAAGACATCCCGGTGTTGGTCAATCATCTACATGGTAATAGTGCAAACAATACATGATCATTCAACCACCTCTGTTTTTTATATACAACTATGAATTCTTTTTGTTTTGGTAAAATGAATAGATATATTCTACTATCCACTTTAGTCAATTGAACTATGTACGGACATTATTTACATAATCAAACAAGGAAAGGAACCTCTTGAGTTTTCTTATAATTCTCTTGAACAGCAATCGCTTTAAGCTCTATTTCTTTGAAGACTCCTTTTAACCTTTCCGTCTCCTTAGTTAACTTATCTTTCTCCTTTCTTGACTCCTCTATCCCCTTAGTCAACTTCTTCATCATCTTTTGTCCCGTCTCTATTTGGACTTTATGACGGTTAATATCAGAGCTGGTCTTGTCAATATCCTAGTAAATGGGTACCATTAGTAGAGGCATAGTATTATATTGAACAGAAAGCTCTTCTCAATATTCAGGATACTTACAGACTGAATCTTCTGAACCTTCAACTTCTGAGATTTTAATCTTTCACCGCCAGAATTCTCTATATTCCTCTGAAGTTCTGAAACCTAAAAATGGTGGATATGTTTGGCAAACTTAAATTAAATAAAGATATAGCCTTTGTCAACTGCAAATACTGCTAGATATCAAAAGAAAAGATAAAGATGACAAACAAGACCAGTCAAGTACTAAACTTCCAAAGAAGTTCAAGTTACAGACATAAGGAAGGTCAAAACCCACCTTCTCCTTCAGCATTTTAGATCCACCGGTGAGTCTACCAATTTCTTTTTCTTCTGCAGAAATAATCTTCTTCAGCTCTTTCAACCTATCAAGCTCATCCTTTTGTGGCACTGATGCAACTTCAAGGGATCCAAGTTGTTTTTCAATATCAACACGTTGCACTTGCAAACTTTCAAGCTGTAGCAGAAGGGGAAACAACTCAATGCCTGGCACCAATAACTCCATAAAAGTACTTTTCTAGACTCGGAATAAGCATTACCTCCTGCTCACTTTTACGAAGCTCCATTTCCAAAGCTGCAATAGTTTTTTCTGCAACCTGATATCGTTTCACAGCATCGACCATTCTTTGGTGAATTGCTTTCAATTTATCGGTCAATCCAGATAGTTCCTTCTCAGCACTTGCAAGGGCTTTATCAGACACATTTGGATCTCGAACAGATGTGCCCATCTTCCCACTCTTGGGCTTACCACCCCCACCACTCATTGTTCCAGATTTTTCAAAAAGTGCACCATCAAGAGTAACAACTCGTCGAAACTCAACGTTTCCGCCATATGCTATCCGTGTTGCCTAAAATTTACAGGAGTGAAAAAAAAGGTTGCTATTTAATTGCTTCCTTTTCTGATACAAACATTAGCAAATTAACTGTACCAGGCCAAAGTAATATACTTTAAATAAAATAAATGAGTTTTACAATGTAAGAAGCAAAAGTTAAAAATAAATGTATAATAAATCTTGAATTTAAAATCAGATCAGAGTTTTCTGCTAGGGAGGTAGAACTGACCTGGTCAAGATCATTAGCAACAACTGTGTTTCTAAGTACTGCAAAGAAAGCAAGTTTCATTCTTTCATCTGGAATCTTTACTAAATCAAAAAGGCGGTCAACCCCCTCTGGAGGGCTTACACTCTTTTTCATCATTGGAAGATGTTCAACTTGCTTCTCCTGAAAAACAAATAAAAAAATGATATTCTAATAAAAAAAATATTGAAAAACAAATTAGACAGCCACTGGGATATTGCATCCAATTCAAGAAAATCAAAAGTATTTATTTTATAAAACAAAAATCCATACAAGCAGGCTTGCTTTCAGTGTTTCCCTACATGAATTGAAATGGCTTCTAGTAGACCTAAAACCCTATTAAACAATTGTTATCCCAATTATTTCCTTCAATATAACTAGTTCAAAACTGCCAAAATCAACTATTCAGTAAATTTGCCAAAATCAACTATTCATATTATAGAAGATCCAATGCTATATCAAGGAACAATTCACCAAAAAGTAAGCTGATTTAGCACCACTGGACAAAATGGTTTCATACATCAGATAACTTTCATTTTCCCAGCCAAGGACCGAGGAATACATTTTATTAATTTGCCAAACCAACCAACATGTGCTGCAACACAGGAATGTACACTATATATTGATAAATAATTCTACTAAGCAAAAAAATAGTTGAAGTAGGTTGTGAAGGTATATAAGCAGATTGAAGTAAAAAACCAATTAAAGTAGAAGTATCCTATGAGAGCAACTTTTAAGTGGAGCTGGAACTTGAAACTTAATGTGAAAAACACACGAAATAGAAAATAGATACAGAATCAATCCAGCCATGTCTATACAAATCCAACTGGAGTAGTCCAGTATCCAGAAGTTAACTGAGCTAATTTATACCATTCAAACACATTAGATAATATAACAGTAAAATAAATACCAATATCATGAAAGTGGCAACACCAAGATTCTCTCTCCGAAGCATCTCAACACAGGCTTGAGCTGCATTTGATGTTTCCACGACAATATAGTCAAGCCCAGAACATGCAGTTGATATTGCAACATCATACTTTGCTGCAGTTATCAAAATTAAGAAGTTAAAACTGTGATATACTCTGATCACACAAGATGCAAATACAACAAAAAATTTAATCAGTGTTCAGTTCTAACCAGCTTCCAGATTGATTAGAAGATAAATTCAATACTTTCTATTATTTATTTAATCTAATATCATTCTATAATTAAAAATAAAACTAAGCCAAAAATATTTTGAAAGTGTAAACTAGTAATAAATAATGATTTACATTAATTTCAAATGTCTACTATATTAAAAACGTTGTTTGTACATACATTGACTGTCAAGACTAGAGGGTTGTTTAGTGCATGAGATAGAACAGAGACATTATAGGAAAAGAAGTTGAATAAGAATAGGATATAATAGTGACATGACAGAACCTATCATATATTAAATTTTAAATTTACTTTTTCTGAAAATTTACATACATTTTTTAAAATTAATTTTTAATAGTTTTTAAACTTAATTAATAAATAAATAATATTAAATAACAATAAAAATAAGTTTAGATAACTTTTATAAATATTCATTGACACTACTAAGTAATCAATTTCAATTTTTATTAAGAAAATCATGAATAAATAAGTAATTCTATTATATATGTGATAGGAACCATGGGCCAAAAGTTGATGCGGGTCTTACCTCCGAGAGGCCTATTATTTGGAGGGTGTATTCTAGAAGGAATAGGAGGGAGAAGGTTGTTAGTGACGTGCTATGAAGAACAGACTCCAACACGGACACCGGAACACGACACAGACACACAGACACTCTGACACTAATAATGTAAAAAAATAGGACACTAACACGGCTACACATTCACTTATCCATATATTAATTGAAGAGTTAAAAATATTCTAATAAAAATTAATGTTTTAAATTCTTCATTGATAACTTTGCTTCAATACATGATTAACCCTTTTAGATGTGTGAGATTTATTTAAGAAATGTATAAGGTGTGTTGAAGCAAAGAAAAAAAACAATTTTTTTATAAAAAAAACTTGTTTAAATTGACCGACACGTGTTGTATGAGTGTCATACAACTTACAAGTGTCAGACACCAATTCAAAGAGTGTTGAATAAAAAAACTATTTTTTGAAGGACACTTGTCTAACTTTTCCGACACTTGTCTAATTTTTGCCACACGTGTCATCAGGGTGTCATACAAGTGTCAGACACCACGACACGCCTACTCATATAGGTGTATCTGCTTCATAGGTGAGGTGTCATGAGATCCCACGTGATTTGGTTAGAGGGGTATATCACTAGGTACCAAATATTAGAGTATTCTAAGAATTGCTAAAGTCAGATAGAAGGAGAAAATACTTTCTCTGGTGAAGAGCCTAGGCTCTAAGTTAACCTTTATTTGCTTGTAGTAAGAACTGTAGACTTCTATCAATTTCATTAATACAAATAACCATTCATACCTCAATTCTTCTATTGCTATATCAGTTGATAATATAGATACAATCAGGACCATGGAAAACCAGGTTTTCTAGCAGTTTATACAGCACAAAGGGATTTAATTTGAAAATTTTAGAACACTGAAGCCATAAAGTTTGCAATTAAAACCTTACCATCAATAGAACCTAGGTCACCCATGCGTCCATATATTCCTTCTATTTGTCTGGTTTCCTTAGCATTCATGATTGCTTTTAGAACTGATCCCTGGTTCTTCTGTGAATCCAAAACAGACTTCAGTTCCGCAACCTTCTGCCTAGCCCCTTGTTCAAGAAGAATCTGGGTATCTTGTTCTTTGATACATTCCTTAAGAATAAGAATATTATTAACAAAAGCTTGTGAACGAAAATGTTAAGGTGAAAATAAGAAGGAAAAATTGCTCACTTCTTCCACTTTGTGAGCTTCTGATGCTTCTTTCTGGTTCTTTTCTAAATCCTTCTTAATTTGAGAAATGCTTGCAGTTTTTGAGTTAATTCTTTCTGATAAACTTTGCATCTGATCTTGAGCACCTTTAAAGGCTTCACGAGCACCTTCATGCTGCAAAAAATAAAAAGACATCAAGGATTCTGATCTAATTTATTTATTATGGATCCAACATCAAAAATCAAGAATGATTGCCTTTGCTGTTTTGCTGAAGGAAAACCTTTGGATTATCACTCATGGAACTAATTTATTTATTATGGATTATCGGGCATATATAGATCAGAATCCATATCTATGAAAACTTTGGTTTATCATTCATGTCACTTTTGTTAAGTTCAAACTCATTCTTGCCAAGACAAAGAAATATATGAATTCTTCTGCAATTGTCATAAGTTATTTGAATACATGAAGAAATTTTCAAGACAAGACTAATCATTGTCTTCCGAGTTGAGGCCAAGAGTAAGAATAATCAAAATAAGAAAAATCATTATCACCTTTTCATTTAGAAGCTTAGCCTCACTAGATGCAACTTCAAGCTTTCCCTTGTGCTCAATCAAATCTTTTTCCCAAGGTTCAAGCTCCGCACGAGCATTAGCAAGCTCCGTGCGTAACTTCTCAGTTTCAACTGTTTACCATTAACCAAAAAATTATTAGAAAATGTCAAGAAACAAAAAACTACAATGAATCTTCATTAGTGCTCATAGAATATTGGCTCCACTTGTGTACATGGAATCAATTTAATAAAACTTGGGCAAGCTGATGAAGTAGAAAAACATAATTTGAGGAATAAGTTAGGAGCTAAGTTCAAAATGAAGGACCACAGGAGGTTGAAGTACTTCCACAGCATTGAGGCTATCTACTCTAGGAAAGTCACCTTGATCTTTTGAAGGGAATAAGTCCTTGATCTTCCAAAGAAGACAAGTTGGGTTGCAAAACAAATGATGTCCTGACAGAGCATAAGCACCGGGAAGAAAAAGATGGGGAAAGCCCAAAAGTAAAGAAAGCCCATTCATCTAGCCCATGTCAATGTATAACTAATGCAATCAGTTTGGTTAGTCAATAGATTTATGCAGAGTTTTTATTTTCTAAATTAATGATGTAGTAACTCTTTAATTATGATAAATGCGGTAGAGTCTATGAACTAGGCAGTGAAAAATACAATTGATTTTAACCCTCTTCACCTTTTCTTTTCACGTGCAATGAAAAGTAACAAAGGTATATAATCTAACTAAAACTAGGACTACATATTAGCTTAGCAATTTCATACTTTTGCAAGTATTTCAACATGAGCATGAAAAAAAAAAAACAAGGTTCAATTCTCCCCTCAAAAGCAACCTACTATTTGTTAAGAGACCAAACCAATATGCATTGACTCAACCAATCCACATCATTCATACCTATTTGTTAGTTTACTGACAGATTGACAATTGGTTCAATAGAAAAAATGATTCGCATAGTTCATTGAGCTTTGGTTGTGGATATGGTTTACAATTATATCGAACCAAACTAACATATTAAAATAATTATTATCTATGAATTTTAAAATGGATAAGCTATAATCTAGGACAGTCATCTATGTATCAAAATTGAGAGTCGAACCAAGCCAGGCAATTTAACATTAACGGTCAATAATGAAACGACAAATGTTCAAGGAAGCGTGTTTATAAACTGAAAAGTGTTAATGAGGTTATGACTAAAAGCATCATATGTAGATGCATTCAGCAAATCGAATTTAATTAAAGGCAACTTCAAATATATCAGTAGTTAAAAAAGACAAGGGTCCACCTTTGGAACTCTCTGTGATTTCTTCTAAGACCTTTTCCTCGTCAAGCAACAATTTTTGCAGTTTAGGGATTTTATCCTCAAGTTTTGGTATCAGGTCATTGGAGTCTTCACCCTCTTTCACAAGAGCTTCAATTTTTGATGAATCCTGAAATACAAATGAATGGATAAGGCACCTCACTCATGCATACATTTGTTAAGAGTCTCACATCGGATTAGACATGGCCTGAAAATAATTCTAAGAACATTCAAGTGCGATAAATCATGCCTTCGCATTACCTTTTCCACTTTATCCTCCAGCTTCTTGATTTTCTGATTCATGTGCTTCAAATCTTCCTGATGCTTAACATCCTGCCTCTCAAACTCCTTGAATTCTTCCTTACACTTCCTCATATCATTATCTAGCTCCTGTAATGTGAATAATAAAAGAAAAAAAAATTGTTACTACTTGATGAGCTTTCAGTAAGCATATAATACCCTTCCATGTTATCATCCAAACTGATAAATTCAAGTCCCGTGTCATGCAAACCTCTTGTCTTTTCATATAGTTGTTGTGCTTAGTTTCAAGTTCTTTCAAGAATTGTTTACTTTCTTGAATTTTATCCCTGGAATAAGACCACTAAGTTCTTCATGAGTCAAGAATAAAAACAGCTAACAATTAAGAAAGAGACTATAGATGAAACTCAAAATGACCTTTCCGACTTAAGATTTTCTTCTAGGCTAGCAACGCCGACTTGTAACTCATCCATTTTTCCACCAGTATCATCAACAGCTAACTTTGTGGCCTTCTCTTGCCATTTCAACAGAGATAACTCTTTAAGCATGAATGCTTCTGCTTCATTCTTCACATCCTGTTACAATCGAACTGTTAGGGGTTTTTGCAAAGTCAAGTAATACATATAACTACAATTTTACATGCCTCCAAGCTGTCCCTTTCTTTTTCAGATAGCTTGACCATTTGCACCACCCCGGATCTTTTCTCATTAAGAGATTCTAACCTAAAGCATCAACAAACTTCCAACATTAGAATTTATCTACTATAATTGAAATCTAAGTGATACTTAAACAGCGTGTCACCAGAAAAATATAAAAAGTGTCCTTAAAAAGCAGAGTTTATGCTTTCTTTTGTAATTTGTAGCTTAGGCTGTTAAGTGATGACAGCTGTCACACAGTTTGTAAGAGTGATATGGTTGGGTTGAGCCTGAATCAGCTCCATAAATTAGTTGTAATAAGCAAAGCAACCAAATCCGACAGCAAGAACAACAAACGGTATCTATGCTTTTGTAAAGGAGAAAGAGCGCTCACTGTTTAAATGACTCGTCAATTTTTTCTACATATTTGTTGGTTCCAATGATATCTTCCAAATATTCTAGAAAGCCTTCATCATGAGGTCCTTGAGATTTTGGTTTCATAAGTGAAATTTGTTCAACTTCTCCCTGATAAGAAAAAATTTAAGCATCAACAAAGATAAATAGGACTGCATCCAAAAAAAAAGCATCGTAGACGAATGAACGAACCTGGAGGATCAGAAACCTATTATTGTCAAGGTCAACACCTTTTCCTTTCAATTTCTTGGTAACTTCAGTGAAATTACTTGAACGGTTATTAATGTAATACTTAGAGGAGTTGTCCCGAAAAGCCACCCTTGTAATAACAAAATCACTTCCAGGAACAACCTCATATGTTCCATCTTCCTGCAGCCATAGATGATTTAGGTCTAGTTTTTAAATATCAAAGATGAAAAACACAAAAGTGTCATAAACCCGTAAATCTGAACTCTTAAAACCTCTGGCAGCATGGTATAAAGATCAACTTAATAACAAGCTCGTGCCAGAAGAAACCAAAGGGGAATACAGAAGAAAAAAAAAAGCAAAGAACAAGAGAGTAAAGTAAACTAAAGGTGCTTATTATTTTCTCCCTTGATTACCCATTGATATGTTTTACTACTAAGTGTCACTGCTGGAAATTCCACCTTAATTGCAGCACACTTCTAGCCACCTTAATTGCGGAATTAGGTTGCCTTCGTTGCAGCTTTCAAGACCTTCATTGTACTACGTGTTAAGGGGTGGGTTTAAACTCGCATAACCTAGAGATATGGCTTATATAGTGCTTTATAAATCTGGGCAATCTTCACCTTACAAATCAGTTGTGAGGTTCAGTAGCTTCAGTCATACCTAAGCCCAGAAACCACTCCGGGCCAGGAACCAGCTCTGCTATCCCGCTATTTCCCCTACAGAGGCCACTATAGTGTTCTAAACCGTAAGACTTTTCCCATATCGGTCGGTTTCCGTTCCGCTATAGCAGGATTGGGCCGCCATTGACTACTCTGCCTAAGCCCAAATGTATTTACTTTTTTTCGTTACTTTTATATTCTGTTTACACTTTCTTTCTTGTTTAACCTTTGTAAAATCATAAGATCAGGAAATAAAGTGAAGAGAAACAATGCCAAAAGTGAAAATATATCAAGTGAAATTTAAAACGAAACAAAAGAAAAATAAACATTGGACATCAAATTGAAAGACTTTATTTTTTGTTTCATTTATATCTCAACTTATACATATTAAATACTGTAAGTCTTTAACAATAAAAATTATAATATAAAAGTAACAAAACAAGGTTAATAAGAAAAAAAATACCGAATCAACAATCTCTTGAAAATGAACAGAAACCCCAGCACTATCCAAATTCTGGTGATTGGAAGAATTGTGTATAAGCTCCGAAACTTTGTTGAGTCGCATCTGCAAGAAATTGTTTCCAATCAAACAACCCGATCAAGCATTAATTACTTTCTATAACTTTCCAGAACAAACCTGCTTTGCTCGCTTCCCAAACACGAACAGCATAGCGTCAATCACGTTACTTTTTCCGCTTCCATTAGGTCCAACCACGGCAGAAAAACTCTGAAACAACAAAGATTCGTCATTCTCAAACTCGTTCAGTTTTCAATTCCGCCAAATTACAAGTTCACAGGAGAAATCAAAGTAATTGAAGTGAAAAAATGGAAGAATCAAACCTTATGAAATGGGCCAACGCGCTGTTCGCCCGCGTAAGATTTGAAGTTCCGCATCACCATTTCTTGAATGAAGAGCCTAGGGCGTGCTGTTGGTCCTCGAGCTGAGTCGCCTTGAGATTCCATTGATGCAGAACGGTTATCTTAGAGTAACGGTTTGGGAATTTAGGTCAAAGATAAAGTGATTTTTGTTTTTCTGTTTTAGGGTTTATCCTACCGTTGAAATTGAAATGAAGTTATTTGCGGAATTTGTGGAACGACGATAGGGAATGAATATTGAATCGAAGTGGAGTTGAAAAAGTGCGATGTGGATTGGCTTTGGCGGTAAATGAATTTTAGGTGATGCTTTCAAATTTTGAATATAGGTCTTCGAAACCCCACTTGTTGAGCCTTGAGACTTCATTATTGTTTTTTTGGAAAAATAAATTATTATTTTATAATCTACTGTCATTTTACTTTTTGCTATTTTAACTCCACATCATCGTTTTAATGGTAAATTATGTTTTTTTTATGCTTTATCCAATTAAATTGGTCTTTTGGTTGCAATGTAATTTGGATTTGTTTTGTATTGTCTCGTAAGTTTACTATGTTATAAGAAAACTTAACTAAGTTTTCATATATCTGACTTTTACTAACAAATACAGGAACTTGTCTTAGGAAGCCAATTTACAGAAATTTTAAGTCATAGTATACTGAAAAAAAATTATTATTTTCAAGTAATTTACAGAAATTTTAAGTCATAGTATACTGAAAAAAAATTATTATTTTCAAGTAAAAATTATTTATCAATTCTTCCATTACTTTTTCCCTCTCAACTGAATTTTTAATTTTAAATCTCTCTTAATGTCTTTATTATTTGGTCTTCAACATCTCTTCTTCAATAAGTAAGACAAATTTTAATTTATCGTCTTTATTATTTGTTGTAAATACTCTTTTGATTGATTTTTTATTTCTGTCATTTGTTTTAAATACCCTCTTATTTATTTATTTTTTCATAAATTTCTTTTTACTTTACATCCTCATGATTTTTTTCAGAAATTTGTGTTTTAAACACATTACAAGGTCTATTGGTTTATTTAAAGTATTTTCCATAAACTTTGTTTATAAACATAAATAAAACCTTTTGTTGTTATTTTCAGGTGATCTTGCTTTGAAAATAAAAATGATGGAAGAGGGTGAAAAATCTAAGAACTATAAAACAAGTACCAATGAGTAAGAATAAAGAATTTGTTTATATGATTTTTTATTTTGGAAGTAGATTTTACAAAATTTTGGAGATATTTGAATTCATAAATGCTTTGGTATAATGTGAATATTTATATATACTTTTAATTTTTTTAGATTCATGTTTACAGTTGTTTGTTTTATTGATTATGGTTATGATTTAATTTTTGCGTTTTGTTTAAAAACTAGAAACGAATTTGATATTCGTTGAAGATCTTTGGTATCTGACAATGGTGTAAGCGTTGAAGATCTTTTGTTTGATTTATCCCATGATATCATGCTATTCTTTAATATTGTTGAAAATACATTTGGCTACTTTGATTTTTGTGTTATTTTGCAGAAATTAGGCATAAAAACATCAAAGTGTAAGACACGGGCAATGGGATAAGGAAGCTAAACAAAGAGAAGAATGTATGCATGTTCTCTGTACGAACTGCCTGCAAGGAGTGCCAGCGAATGTTCACTGGGCGAACTCATGGCGAAGCCCCAGCGAACCATCTCAGGAAGATGGCAGTAAGTTCGTTGGGCGAACTAGCAGCAAATGTTTGTTGTGGCGAAGGGATAGTGAATCATCCCAGACTGAAGTCAGTAGCTAAAGGACTATAAGTTCGTTGTGCGAACTTGTAGCGAAGTAGTTCGCAATGCAAAGAATTGCTCGCACAACGAACTTCAGATATTTCTCAGGAGCGACTTAACTGTTCAGAGGCACTTCAGGTGCCTAAAAGGGTGTTCGATCTACGAAGAAACCGTTCGCAATGCGAACGTGACAGATTTCTAAAAGTGTTATATATGTACTTTTCACTATTTTGGGGATACTAACTCGTTTTTACACACAAGAACTTCATTTCTCAGCATTTCTTCACCAAAATGTGATATTTTGCAAATAGAAGCTGGATTCGCATCCGAGTTCAATTCTTCGACGTGGATGTTCATTCATCTTCTTCCAATACTTATAACGCGAGCTACCATGATTAGGGGTAGCTAATTTCCTTTGTATCAAAGGTAGAGGTAGTCTACCATTAGCTTGTATGTATTTCTTTTGATTGGCCTTGTATGTGAATAAGTGATGATTAATATATGATGAATATGTTTGTTCTTAATGACCCATTCTTGTTTTGTAAAACTCTAGACATATATTATGTAAAACTTGACCTAAAATGTTCATCTATCGGTTTATAGATTGGAGAAATCGGTTTATGGTTGATAGTTTCTTTGTGTTGAACTTAAAGCTTACTATATTGGTTGTTATATGGAGAAATCGTGTAGTGATGAATACGGTATTTCTCACGACACCGCTCTAGACATAAACGGTGTTGAGAGAATGTGTGACGATATTAATCGGATCCGACTTCACATGCAAGATTGAAATAATGCGCATAAGTTAGGGTAGATGAAAACTACTTTTGATATACTTTGTTAACAAAAATATTTAGAATTTATAAGCTTTTCTACTAAAAATGTGACAATTTTATGAACAAAACTTTGAAAATCCTTATTCTTGAAACGATAAACTGTTGAAAGGCAAACATCAAAATATCCTTAATCTCTGTGGAGATGATAACAACCCCCCCTTAACTATGATTCGAACAAAATGTCATTGTTGTCGTGGATTGTTGATATTGCAAGCATTGCAATAGTTTATTGATTTAAGAACTTTGTATTGTATTCTTACCCCTGTTATTTTTCTTGTACTGCTTAATTTGTTTATTTAAGTGTGTAAAATCTGTTTATGCGAGGGAGTGTACCTGTAGACCAACTTCTTTTTGATTCTGAGATTGAAAGAACTACTCGTAGGCTCAATAGCAGAACTAGGCGGAGGAAGCAACTTACCCAAGAAAGTCGAGAGCGTAGAGAAGCTTCTACATCTACATGCATTGTAACGCCAAGCATGGCTGAACCACCACCACCACCTCTTACTTCAACCCCATGTGTAAACAGTCAAAGACATAATGCTCAGTTTGTGTGCAATGCCAACAATGGGAGGCATTCGGAGATGACAATGGGAATCATTACTCTTCTGTATCAGAATCCTCTTACTGGTATGGACCATGAGAATCTGAGCGCCAAAAGATAAAAAGGAATCCTTGCTCAAAAGACTATTTTCGCATTCCTTAATCGGGAAGGCGAATGAATGATATCTTGATAAATCAACTTTAGTGATGATGAATTATAATTTATTGGAAGAAAAGTTCCTTGAACGATTTTTCCCCAATAACAGATTTACGAAAGCGAAGACGATGATATCGGTGTTTACTCAAGGTGGAAATGAATCTCTCTATGAAGCTTGGGAGAGGTTGAAATCCATGTTACGAAAATGCAAAGGTCACAATTTTGATGAATTAACTCAAGTGCACATCTTCTGGAATAGGCTCCAATTGGTTCATAATACTTTGTTGGATGCTACTTTGCGTGGTTCGTTAGTGTCTAAAAGCGTTGAAGACGCAATTGCTATTATTGATAGGATGGCACTCAATGATCATCAAGGAAATAACAATCGTGGCACACCTCAAAGAAAACCAGGCATGATCGAGTTGGGAACAAATGATGTTATTCATGCTCAAAACAAATTACTCTCGCAACAAGTGGAGTTGTTGATAAAGCTAATGTCAAAACTTCCACAACAAATCAAAGTGATGCAAGAAGTTCCTGTTAGAACACAGATTGGTTCTTAATAATATTTTTATGTTTTGATGATAACTATTATGAAATTTTGTATTTAAGAATTATATACTCTAAAATTTGCTTGAGAATGTTTGCTGCAGATGTTAAAGTAAATATTACTCCAGAATCAAATTAGATCTGAACATAAGAAATATGCAAGGATCTGAAGCGTCAGAAGCATCTCTTAGAAGACTCTGAACGCTGCCTCCAGAATATTCTGAGCGCTGCCTACAGAAGAATCTGAAGCAGAAGCTGCAGAAGAATCTGAAGCAGAAGCTACAGAAGAATCTGAAGCAAAAGCCAGAAGCATCTGAAGCAATGAAGAATTTTGTATGAAGAGTTTTTCAAGCACAGTTACTTCAGAAGACTCTAATAGTACTAACGCTGCCAGTACTAAGGATCTGACCTAAAACTCTGCTCTGAACTTATACACGCTGATAACACACTTGTTGCAAAGACTCTGATTAAGCAAAACTCTGATGAACATCAGAAGGCTCTGATCAATTTAGACTCTGATGATTGTTGCTGAAAACTGTTGAAGAAGAATTCAAAGATTATGTCCGTTGGAGTAACCAAACGACTCTTTCCTTATTTATGCTAGACACAAGAACACAGACAAAAAGGATTTCTCTGTGCATTCTTCTTCTAGGAAAGGTCACATGATGTGAAGACAAAAAGGCTTAGACCTTTTGGTACACTATTCTCAACGTGAAAAGCTCTTGGATCACCGTGCCTATAAAAGCAAGTCCCCACTCATCTTCTTCAGTTGACGAAAATACTTGAAAAGAATTTATAACTAAGCTCTCATGCAACTCATACATTCTTGCTAGAATTATTTCATTGTTCTTAATCTTAAGTGAAAAATCACAGTTGTGATAAAGATTTATTAGAAGCATTTTAACACTTGTATTTATTATTACATTTGATTGTAAGAAAACCTTAAGAAGATCCAGTTAGGATCAGTAGTTCTTGAGAAGACTTTGAATAGTTGTTCTTAGTGCTTACTATTGTAATCAGTTGATTAAATAGTGGATTAAGTCCTTGTTTGAGAAAGGCAAATCACTCTAGATAGGGTAGACTAGAGTAGTTGAGTTCAACGAACCAGGATAAAAATCCTTGAGTTTTTATTTCTAAGTTTTATCTTCATACTTATTCAACCCCCCTTCTAAGTATTTTCTCACCTTCAGTTGGCATCAGAGCTCCGGTTCTGTGTGTGCTACCACTTCACAGTGACAGAAAAG